TGAGTTTTAAGCCAGCCTGGGTAACCCCATTTAAAAATAAAAATCTTTGGGGTAAAAGGTCAAGCAGAGCTGTCTGATGTATCCTCCCTGTCCCATGTCACCTCACTCCCTACCCCTACATCAGCTTGCCTCTCACAGCCCTGCTTCTACAGTCTGGAAAAAATTAACTAAGTCACCTTCTTGTAAGGCTATCCAGACATCTAGCAAATATTTAGAGACCCAGAATGGGGCCAAGGAGCATGCCGCTAGCCTAATACATAGTAGGTGCTTCATAAATGGCATTGACATATGAAAAGTGTGAACCACAGAAGGCTTTCAATCAGAGGACCTTTTCTTAGAGGAAATGGGTAAAAGAGTGCTTGCAGGGAGAGACTCTCAACTCTGGGTCTGACTCCCTGCCACTCCCTGCTCTGTGCCCCAATCTTCAACAGCACCCACCCTCTCAGTGAGTTCAAGGCCATCCAGAGCTACACAAAGAAATCCTTCCCCCCTCAAAAAAAAAAAAAAAAAGAAGGAAGAAGAAGGAAGGAAACAGCATTTGCCTAAACTGCTCTGCCCTTTCAATTGGCTTGGACCACTGAGAATCCCCACTGCAAGACCCAAAGGTTGAGGTCATTGGTAAGCTAGGACACAGAGCTCTCCAGCAGAAGGGCCCAGATCTACCAGTGACTGGGTGACTGGCTTGGTTAGTTAACAAGCCAGTTCTGGGGGCTGGAGAGATGACTGAGCACTGACTGTTCTCCCAGAGGATCTGGGTTCAATTCCCAAGACCCACCTAGTGGCTCAAAACTGTCTGTAACTACCAGGGGACCCGACACCCTTACACGGGCAAAACCAATGCACAATAAATGATTTGTTTTTAAAAGAGAGAGAAGGAGGAGAATAGAAATCAGATTTAAACAAAAAACCCAAGCCTTAGTTCTGTTCTGGTGTGAAGAAAGGTAGGTGATATGAACATCAAGGTGCATATGGTTGTGTGCATGGGGGCTGCTGTCTCTCTGTGAAATGACAGGGTAAGGGTTCCGCAGAATCACAGGTCAGCCACTGTCCCTAGTACACTGTGCTATGCCCCAGCCTAGGCACTGGCCAGGCAGCCTGCTGGAGGGGCCAACTGGAGACTGGGTGGTGGCTACCATAGTGATGGGGAAGTGGCTGTGTCAACTATCTTTAGTACTTTCTCTCAGTCTTTGACTCTACCAGACTGAGCAGAGCTCAGGTGGGGTGAGGAAGGCAGGACCACTTCTCCACAGTCACATGAAGTCAGTGACCTGGAGCCACCAGGGCCACTCAGGGACCTACTGTGGTAGCTGACCCCTCTATGACTACTGTCAGAAGTAAGCAGGGGAAAGGACAAAAGGAGTCAAGGAACTGCAGGAGCACTGGGAAATCACATCCCTCCATCCCTCGTGCAGCCTTGGTAGCCCTGCTTCTTGTCGGCAGTAGACACAGTAGTCCAGTTAGCTTCCTGAGGCTACCTCTTCCTGTGGCTTCCTTACTCCTGGGAGAAGGGATGGTTAGCCTCATGATGCCTCAGTTTCCTTCTGTGGACTGTTAAGATCACCCAGTGATGTGTGTGACCTGAAGACTTTTGGAAACAGCTATGACCTCATTTCTCCATCTGTGAAATGGGCAACAGCTGTAGGGACTGAAGGTGACTGAGCCAGCAGGAGGCATGATGCAGTTGGTGCTCAGCACAGGCTCTCTACTCCTCCCAGCAGCTGCTCTTAGCAGACTTGGATCTTCTTCATGATGCCTGAGCTCAGTCCCAGCAGTGCCACCCCACAGCTGGTCACTGTGTACCTTTACTCTCTCCTGGCCTGAGCTTTCCATCTGTACTATAGGGCAGTAGCAGAACCCACTTTAAGGGGTGGTCCTAAAGATTCTGAAGGTGGGGAGGGTGGTCAGGGTGCATGTGAGGGTGCAGAGAGGGTAAAAGGGAGGGAGGGAGAGGGAACTGGGATCGACATGTAAAATAATAAATTAAATTAAAGGAAAAGAAAAAGATTCTGAAGGTGTAAAGATCTCGGGGCCAGACAGGAAAAAGAAGCTACCAAGCCCTTGGGAGCTGGCCAGGGAGCTGGAGTTGGACCAAGGACTAGGGCCCCATGTAAAGGCAGGCAGGTCTTCAGGAGAGGGCAGGGCAGGTAGGGGGACGACAAAAGCCTCAGACAAGTAGCTGCATGCTGAGAGCTGGCAGAAAATGAGGCTGCCTGTAGTACCAGGGCCCTAGGGACCCAACCCAACCCCAGCAGTGCTGTCACCAGGGTCTAGGCTAAAGCACTTTGAGGTGAGCCCAGGAGGTGGCAGCCATCTGGCCATCCCTGATCCCTTGGGCAATCCCTAGTAACTGGTAAAGGCTTTGTCATGCCCTTTAAGATGATGGTGGCTCCTGCCACCACCTCCCTGGTCCCACTTGCTCAGAAATTCCCAACAGGTATTATTTTTTTTTTTTTTTCATTACTGGAATGTGACTCCTTGTTTTTCCAACACAGGATTTCAGTGAGGCCTGTCTTGGGGTTCTAGTGAGAGAAAAACATGACAGGAAAGACACAGGCATGGCAGATGTGTGAAACACACGGAGAATGGCGGGGAGAGGCAATGACCCAGTTCCCATTCCAGCAGCCTACAGAAATGCTGGGACTCCCACCCAGGTACAGATGCAATACTCCACAAAGCTTATTGAACATCTACTGTGTGCAAAGCCCTGTCCTAGAGAGGCCAGGGAAATATGCAGTCAAGTAGACGGCACAGACTGCTTTTATGGGTCTCCTCCCTCAGGAGCTGAGAACAGAGCCTAAGGTCTTGTCCTAGAGCCTCTGCACTATTTCCTCTGCCTGAGTACCATACTACAGAAAGTCACCATAGGCATCCTTTGTTCAAGCCTGAGACTGCACTTCTCAAATAGTCTTCTCAGCATTTCTCATCTGCCTCCAAGAGAAACAGCTTCAAAGTTCTTTCTCCAATGCTTATAATGGTGCTGGTATGCAGTGAGCACCAACTTCCAGAGAGGGCAAGCCTGGGGCAGAGAGGCTGGGGATGACTTTGCATGCTGTCCAATCATGGAAAAACAAAATTAGCCTACTGGACACTTCTCTACCTTTGGTCTGATTTTCCTGCCTGGGTTATCATGGAGCTGTCTATCTTGGTCAAGGGCCAGCCTTCAGAGGCTGAACTGGAGTGGACTGGGATTCAGTTCCCAGAAGGGGACTTTCAACCATCTTTAACCTGTTGTGTCCTCTTCTGGCTCTGCAGGAACCAGTTATGCATGTGTTACATATGTACTAAATACATAAAGCAGAATGACCCAGGTCTTTAATTTCAATTCAGGGTTAGGATGCAAAAGAGATTAAAGCTTACTTTCCATGAAAATTTCTGAAACCACAATGTCTCAAAAGGCCATCCCTATGAAGGGCTACCTCTCACTTGTGGCCCTAACCTTGAGAATGTACCCCAGGTGATCTTTGTTCTCTGGACCAAGTTCCTAGTACTGAACACATAAGGAGTAATGTTCTACAAAACATAGGTGGCCTGTGATTAGAGGGACAGATGTCTTTCCAGAACATCTATGTTCCTGAGCTAACTGGATACCACAGCAGAGTTAAATGGTTAGCCATGTGCTGTACCCACCCCTAAAAGATCCAGGCCTATCAAACAGCTGTAAGTGGCCACTGAATGACAATAGCTTGTGCATGGACCTCCAGGAATAGCTCTACCTTCACAGTGGAGCCTGGGCAATGTTGCAGATATAGAACATGGTGTACCTTACTGTTGGGACCTGTACCTATCCAAGTGTCTTGAAGCCTAAATATCCACCTCAAGAAATGGGCACTTGCCTAGCATCAATTAGCTTTTCATTGGGATTTGGGGCTATCACCCAGGAACATACACTATTTGTACAGTCTAATGGGGTATTCTTCCATTGGGGTCTTGAGAGCCAATGTTCCAGCTAGCTGCAGGAAGCTGAGCAGGGGCACCTCCAGAAAAAACCTCAGTCAAGCTCCAATGGGAGCTACCACAATGTGAAGCACACCAAACTTGCATAATTAACCAGGTAGTCTCAGTGCTGCCAAAGGAGACATTAGTCCTACTTTCCTTTGCCATTCTCAAGGTCTATAATAACCCTTCAGATTCCTGCCAGTCCCCTGCTCCATCCCAAAGATCACACAGCTCACTTCTCCTATGTTGTATTTCTGTGCCAGATAGTGTCTAGTAATGTAATGCCACCTACAGTAGAGGCCTTCCTTTCTTCCCACTTTCTTTAGAGGTTCAGGACCTCCAGGTCAGATAGGGAATGGGAAATGGAGGGCAGAAACATTTCTGAGAGGTTGCTGGGATAGCATGGCTGTGTGTCCCCTTGGCAGGACATCCAGGGTTCCCTTAGTGGAAGTGAAGAGCAGTCTAATCCAGCAGACTGGAGTCCAATATTTAGGCACTGTAATAGTGCAAGTGTCCCTGAGGGACTAGGCCCCATCAATGGCTAGATGTTGTCCTAAGAAGGGAGGAGCCAATGTCACTGTAAAAATTTTTATTGAGACCCCACCAACTGCACAGAGTACTTCTGGCCTTAAGCACCTTCTTCCTTGGCAATGCGGTCTTTCTTGAGTGGTCCCTGTAGAAGAGAAACAGCAGGTGAACGTGTTAGTCTTCACAACCCTGCACAGTCAAGGGGGCAAAGAGCCAAAAAAGCAGGGATACCGGTTTTCCTTACCATGAATGCTTTCTTCTCCTCCATGGTTTGGAAACGACCATGGCCAAACTTGGAGGTGGTATCAATAAATTTCAGGTCAATCTTCTCCAGAGCTCGTCGTTTGGTCTGTACCAGCAAGGACTTGCGGAGAGTGAGTACTCGTTTCTTGGTTCCTACCACACAGCCTTTGAGCATGACAAAGTCATTTGTCACCTCACCATAATGGACAAAGCCACCCTAGGGAATCACAAAGTTATGGTCAGTGCAAATTAATGAGGCTAGTTAGTTTCATCACATAGCCAACCATGATCAAGCTGTTCTCAGAAGGAAGGCAACAGGGAATAGTTCTTCAGTTCCACTCAGGCGCTGTGCTGAGCGCATATTCCAGAGGATCATCACTGAACAGCTTGGCTAGAACCTCATTTTTTTCACCAAATAGCATGCAAGCACAGCTAGAATGGAGAGGGGGCAAATGCCATCCCAAAAGCATCTAGTCAGCTGCCAGCACTCACCAGTGGGTTGATGCTCTTGTCAGACAGGTCATAGTCAGTAGATGCATTGTTCTTGATCAGCTTACCATCCTTAATGAGGTAGCCTTGACCAATCTTGTAAATCTGAAAACACAGTAAGTAGCTAGTTGAGGAAACATTCCTAAGACCCAGCAGGTAGATGCCCAACAACTAGCCTGGTACCCAGTCTGGAAGTGGGAAGTCTAACAACTGTTTTCCAGGCAGATGGGCCAGATCAAAAATACTGCTATTGCTGGACACAAGCTTGTAGTCTTAGCATCTAGAAGTTCTTATCACAAGAAAATAAGGGGCTCAAAGTCCTTCAACTAGTGATAAACATCTTGCTAGGTATGGTGGTTGTTCTAATTCCAGACTTGCCAAGCCTCACCTTTTTGTTAATCTCTGTTCGGTGATGGTAGCCTTTCTGCCCGGCTCGAGCCACAGAGAAGGCCACACGGGCAGGATGCCAGGCTCCAATACAGGCAACCTTGCGCAGCCCTCGATGGGTCTTGCGGGGCAGTTTCTTGGTATGCCAACGACTTGTCACCCCTGTAGAGAACATGTCATAATAGTGAGGGGCCTGTCCCCTTGTGTGTGAATGCCCAACTGGAGTTTATCTGAGGCACTTGTGACTATTGAATTACTTGTTGATTTGAATATCATCCCACATTTCCAATTAGACCAAATGGGGCATGCCTACTATTTATTATTTACAACATCTATATATGTGTGTAAGTCAGGTTGCCGCCTTTGACTTTAAGGCAGTTCCACATTCAGTTTCCAGAAGTAAACCAAAGTACCATCACATCCCATAGAAGCAAGGATTATACTGACAAGGGATGCTGTTCTCAGAAGGAAGGCAACAGGGAATGCTTTTGCAGTGTAACTTGAGTGCTGTGTACAGCACATTCCAGGACCTCATAGCTCTAGGCCAAGCGATCACCAACAGAACCACACTAACTACTTCTAAAGCTTACCTTTGTAGCCTTTGCCTTTTGTCACCCCGATTACATCGATCATCTCATCCTGTCCAAACACCTGGTTCACAGGAACCTGCTGCTCCAGCCTCTCACGGGCCCAGTCTAGCTTCTCAGCCACAGTGCCCCCGTTCACCTGGATCTCCATCAAGTGTGCCTTCTTCTGGCGCAGGGGAAGCAGCCGCATCTAACAGAGGAAGGTCAGATGAGATTGGCAATCCCACTTTGGTTGGCTGGCTGTCAAAATGACCTAAGAAGCCCATACCACAAGACAGGTTCCTGTGGACCATCTAACCAGCCCTGTGCTTAGAAAACAAATATAGAAACCAAGCACACAGTATCACTTCAACGTCTGAGTTCCAGTAAGCCAGGAATACAGTAAGACTATTTACTAAAACACCAAGAAAAGCAAGCCCATTACAATTAATAGCCTGAAAATTTTTAATAACAACTCCATTATAAGACTTCTGGCATTACAACATAGTGCCAACACCTTACCAGTAGGTCATACGTATCAACTGCTGTTTTGTATCAGTGAGATAATCAAATGAAGCATAGATGGAGGTAAGTACCATAGTGCCCTCTGCTGGCACTGTGGCAAGCTGCTAGGTGATTGGCCAAAGAAATTAAGCTCTATGACCTGGCATGCCCTAATTAATGCCTCTAAATCTAAGATAGTAAGATCCTTGTAAAATGAGAGATAAAAACAGAACATGAAAAGCCCCACTCCTGGGTCAGGGTGTGCACTCACCTGAGTGTGAGCAATAATGCGGATGACTTGGCAGTACTTCTTCATGCTATTGAAGTCCTTCTCCAGCTGTTTCTTGCCCATGTCATCCTGCCATTTCTTACAGTATTTGGTGAAGGCCTTCTTCTTAGATTTGTGCCTTCAGGAGCAGAGCAGAGTTGGGGGAGGGGCCCGGTACAGGCCTTCATCACCCTTACAGGGGGTGAGAGGAAGGCACACTGGCACCATGTGGGCATGGGGCTCATTGCCGGCTTCTAAGGAGCCTTTTCCACCAGCAAGCGGAGCCTGGATGGAGCTCATCGGGCAGAGCCGAGCGGAGCTGAGCAGAGGTCCACAGGTTAATATAAGCCACATATACAGAACACACAATTCTTGCTCCAGTGCACAGAAAAATCTCTTCTCTAACTTGGGGACCTTCTCATGGTAAAGGTTAAAGGGACTGACCTGGGAACAAGGTCAGAGGCAGGAAATTTGTCTAGTACAGTCATGCTACAGTTTGAAACCCCAAAAAATGCAGACACTGCATTTATCATTTTCACAAAAACCCCATAAGGTCTGTCTCAAGGAAGCTTTGATCAAAGCACTTGCACTAAGAAACCCAGAACATGCTGAGCAGTGGTGGTCTATGCCTTTAAAATCCCAACACTTTACAGGCAAGGGGGTCACCAGCCTTGTCTAGAAATCTAGGTCAGGGATAAAGAATACATACAAGTGGGTTTAAAAAAAAAAAAGCCCAGAACATGCCCACCAAATTTTAGCTCAGGCCAGTTCTCCCTGGCTTCTCACCCTGCTTACCAGTTCTTGTAGAAACGCCTTTTACACTCATCACTGATGTGCTCAGCAAACACTGTCTTGAAGGTACGGAGACCTCGTGGGGTTTCAACATATCCCACGATGCCTACAACCACCATGGGTGGTGTTTCCACAATGGTTACAGCCTCCACAACTTCTTTCTTGTTCACCTCTGTGAAGGCACATTCATCAGTGGGTGATGAGTACCCCAACATTCAATACTCACTAATCAACAGAAGGCACCTCTGGCCTTCCAGGACCGCTCTTAATATCTCCAGTACCAACAACGTGCCTTTAGCTCAGGTGATCCCTAAGGTTCCATGTTTGTCACAACACCTAGCCTACATACTTCCCATCCTGCATGCTTGCTATTAGTGTAAATACAGACATGAATTCAAGTAAAATCACCTATAATCCCAGCATCCAGAAGTACTGAGCCATCATTACCCCGGCTTCAGATCTTTCCATGAATCAACTGTCCAGACATGAAATTGCTAGGTGTCTAGACAGATTTAGGGACAACTAATCAGTGTTGGCACACTTGTAGACCAGATTGGTCTACAAGAGCTAGTTCCAGGACTGCCTCAAGCCTGAGAATCCCTATCTCGCAACACAAAAAGCTCAGGGAGAGGCATTTGCTGATGCCCTTGCAGAGTAGGCTTTTGCTCAAATCCACATCATCTGCCTAGCCCGTCACACAACTGGAACCAGCTGTCCTTTGTCTTGTTAAGTGGGCACTGTCGTCAGGTTGTTTGACTTAATTAACCAACCAAAATGGAACTGTTCCATAATGACTACAGACTTACTCCAAGCATCATTCCTGAATACATACACAACCCAAGTTTAACAAGGGGAGTCTACATACTGGATCCTGGCCTGTCAACTTCCCGGACAATGTGGGTCATGCCAGCCTTGTAGCCTAGAAAAGCTGTGAGGTGAACAGGCTTGGAAGGGTCATCCTTGGGGAAGCTCTTCACTTTTCCACGATGCCGGCTGCTGCGCTTCCGAGGCAAGAAGCCCAAGGACCCATGCCTGGGAGCGGAAAATTTCCTGTGAGACTGAGGAAGACAATCACCATTACCATGAGTTTATCTCAAGTACTCAGTAGCCCTTCCTACTACTTAAACAGTCCAGGAGAAAATGCCACTTTGTTATCTTACGAGATGGTAGGATTGAATAAGACTTTTGCAAATATTACGTCTTTCACTATCGAAAGGAAACAGCCAAGCTCTGCCAAACAGGCTGTTAGAGGTGACGTTATGACTCACTACTAAATGGCTACACGGCATTTCGGGAGTCAGCCTTTTACAGCTAAGTCTCTAGAATTCCCAATGCCAAATCAGAACATGACAATCAACACAGAGTTTCTGTCCGCCCGTCAGAAGGTTCATCATTTGTGGCGTGTGGGAATTCCTGAGACACTTTTCCCTTTCGCGGAACCACATTCCAAAATGGGAGCTCGTTTAGCTTCCCAGTGACTCCATTTCAGACATTGCAATCCAGTGTCTACGGCCTTTCCACTCAGACTAACCACATGCTCAAGCCAAGATTAATTTCATTTCACAAACCCAAAACATCCCGTTTTATAGAAAGAACAGTTAGGCTTGCGCTCAACTAAAGGCCTCTCCCGCAGGTCCAGGCCTGTCCTGCGCACACGTTTTCTCAGACCTAGATGCCGTCGCGGGCCCCACCAAATCGCTTGTGCTGCTAGAGCAGTTGCTCGTTGTTGGTCAGGCCGCGATGGCGCCGATGGGCCGCGAATATAGGGGGAAAAAAAAGCACAAAAGCAAGGAACCAAAGTCGACTACTACACGTACCATCTCGCCGTCCCACGCTGCCAATAGAGGTCGAAGAGGCGTCGGATCAGCCTATATAAAGCCACCTAATGGCTCCGCCCACTGAGCATGAGAGCGTGCTGCCGCAGAGGATGACGGGTCGAAGGACGTACAGCTAACGTCACTCTCCCGCCCACTCGGGATTGACAAGTACCGCCCATACGGCAAGTGCTTGGGTTCAAACATTGCACAAAGCCTCGGAGATGCTGCAGTTTCGAATGTAATGAATCTACGGCATTCCGCAGCAGCCAAACTTGATGATAATGAAGAAAAATGGCAGCATTGTTTCTGTCCATGAGCTACGCTGTCACCTCTAGAATTATGTCACAGCGTGCTACCCTCTCAGTCCTGTACAGTATCGAAACCAACGTTGTTTGAAGCAGGCTTAGATGGAACTGATGTGCTGCTCTGGCGAGCTCTTACGTTGTAAGGCTGGATGAAACTAGTTTGTTCTCTGACTAGCCAGTGATTTTAATGCAATAACGACTTGCCTTTAATTCGCCATAATTTCGGGCACACCTTCGTCAAGTCTGGTCTCTGCCATTCCAGTACCTAGATGTCATGTCCCGTTCACATTTCATTAATTATTATCTTCTCTCTCTCTCTCTCTTTTTTTTTTTTAACGTGCATTAGTGTTTTGCATGCATGTCTGACTGGAATCCCTGGAACTGGAGTTAGAGACAGTTGTGAGCCGCATGTGGGTACTGTACTTGAACCCTGGGTCCTCTGGAAGAGCAGTCAGTGTTCTTAACCAATGAGCAATAGCTCCAGCCCCCATATTTTATTCTTACTTTTTAGTTTTATTCATGTTATGTGTATGTATATTTTTCCCAGGGTGTATGTATATGCACCACATGTGTGCCTGGTATCTGCTGAGGTCAGAAAAGGGTGTCCTGAAAATGGAGTAACAGACAATTGTGAGTGCTTTAACCCAAACCCTGGTCCCCTGGGATAGCAACAAGTTTTCTTAATTATGAACCATCTCTCCAGATGAAGTAAAAAGTATGTATGTCTTTTTTAGGAACGCGAACATAGTTTTATTAAAGAAAAGTAAAAGGATTTCTGAAAGTGGGAGGGGCACCAAGTGCTGACTACCCTTAAATTACTTGGCACCAGCCTTTAATCCCAGCACTCAGGAGGCAGAGGCAGGCAGATAGATCTCTGTGAGTTCGAGGTCTGCCTGGTATACATAGGTAGCTGCAAGCCAGCCAAGGCTATATGGCGAGACTCTATTTCAAATAAATAACACTTAAAAAATTAGGACTTTTGGGTTAGAAATTGTGCTTCAGTTGGTAGAGTCTTTGCCTAGGATGCATGAAGTCGTACAATGTGGTGGTTCACAGCTGTAATCTAGCACTTGGCAGAGGAGAGAAAGAGAATCGGGATTTCTAGATTATTCTTGGCTTCATATTGAGTCTGAAGCTAGCCTGAAATATAAGAGATATTGTCCCAAAAACTGAAACAAGGGCTGGGGAGATGCCCCTTCTATGGCTCAAGACTCTTCACTGCTGGGGAGATGGCCTTTCTATCGGTTGAGACTATTCACTGCTCTTCCAGATGATCTGAGTGCAGT